GTAAGATTAATTGGAATTGTCACTACGAATCCTCCCAGTATAATGAACATTTCCTAATAAAAATTTATAAAAGCAAACAAAAGGACTAAGGACTCCACAACCAGTTATTTAAAAAGTCAAAAGTATCACAACTTCACATTTCTAAATTTAAATTAACTTTTAAGAGAAAACAGATCTCTTAATGATTCTTTCATGCAAATTTCACGTTTGTTCAGCGTTAAAAACAGAATTGAGCCAACAGTTCAAAACTGCCTGGACAGCTACAGAGCTGAGTTGGAATGCCTGTGTGACCCTGGGTAAATTAAGGCGTGCCTCTGTTTCTGTAACAGTAACATGGGGGAAATGACGAATTGGGGAAAGAGGTACTTCAGGAGTTTTGTGATGATCCTAGTATTTTAATTATGTAACATTTCCCCTTATATAAGGGACATAGGACATATATTTACATTTTAAATGAAAGTGGATAAAACATTCACTCTTGGTATCTTTTCTTTTGGGGTGTAGTTCCTCTGAGACAGCCAAAGGTATCAACCTTACTATGCAATTTATTGGATAATAATCTAAGCAGCTAAATTATAATTTACTCCATTGTTCCCTTTAAGAAAAAAAGCAAGCTATACATTTTAAACAGGTCAAATATTGTTACAATGAAAAGTTTCTATAATACCAATACCACATCAATGACCAATTTATTTCAAGTAATACCTAATAACATTCTGGTACCATAAAATAGTTGAGAACTTTTGGAGTTCATTTTAACATGACAAAAATTTACATTTTTATAGCAAAGAATTTTATAAATACTAATAAATATTACCAAGACAGACTTGTAAAATGTTAAACAAGTGCCAGAAAGAAACCAGAAATTTAAATTTGGATTAAAAAATGAATCTAAATTTTTATAGCAAGAGGCAGATCTATTTCCTTTTTTTTCATCAAATGCTACATCATTAAAATTTAAAAAATTTTTTAGGTGGTACTAGGGTTTGAATTCAGGGCCTCTCGCTTGCTAAGCAGCTCTAGCTCTACCACTTGAGCCACACCCCAGCCTCTTTTCTTCTTTTAAAATGCTACATGTTACTGAATTATGGAATGAAGCACATTCATTTTCCTTTGTATATAAATGAGATTGAAAAATCATTGACTTTGGTCAATGATTGTAACTTTTTTATGGTTTCTGGACAGATTTATTAGTATAATTCATTACATACTATTTGACAAAACGTATGGTCCTTATGTTCTCTGGCAAGAGGGCACCCAGGCCTGTCTGATGAATCTTTTCTTATGATGAGTAAATCACAAACTATGATCAAAATGAAAGTTACTACAAAATAAGCATGAAGTGAAATTTACATAAGGAAAAAACCACCATGGCTGGTAAGCACATGATTGTACTGACTCTCAACATGGAAGAAAAAATATGATAAACTTGTAAAACTGATCTAACTTATAAATATGGTAAGGTATGTGCAAGATATCCTCTTGGTAGATGAAAAAGATTACATTTGTTAATCTATAAGTTCAGAAACACTCTAAAAACGTACAAAAATCTTTGAAGAAACATACATCAAAAGATAAAAAATATAAAATTCACATAAAAAGCATCATTTGATCTGAAAAGACTGTGATGATTAATCTTCATTGTAAACATGACTGGATTGAGAGATACCTAGGGAGATTACTAAAGCATACCTCTTGGTGTGTCTGTGATGGCGTTTCCAGAGATGATTGGATCATGAGAGCTCTGGGCCCAATGAATGGATTCATTCCTTGATAGGCTCATATGTCATTGAGAGATGGTGAAAGACAGGAGGCAGGGCATACTTTGAGGAAGTAGGTCACTGGGGGTGTGTCCTTGGGGGCCTCTTCCTGTATTGCTCTGCTAATCACTCCCTGTCCCCCATCTTGGACTGACATCTCTGAAACCATGAGGCGGAATAGAGAATTTCTCCCCTTACATTGTTTCTCTCAGATATTTGATAACAGTGATGAGAAAATTCATTTGTCAATGGTCCATTAACCACATTTTAGGTTGTTCTCACTCTAGAGACAACCTGCTTCCAGTCTATTGAAAATGTAGTCTTTTTCCTAATAAACTTTACTATCATTTTCACACATACACAAAATGACACTATTATTTAAAAAATTCTTAAAATTAAGTCTTCTGGCTTATTAGAAATGCAGCTTTAAAAAATTTTTTCTTAACATACGGAGCCAGCATGGTTCAAAATGAAAAGAGAAGAAACTTATTATCTGAGTTGATTAAAAAGGACACCACCTATTGGATTCATGCCCTATTACTTAAACAAACCTTAGAGAATTATGTTACCTCTTCCCCCCTCCCCCCTTGCACTGGGGGGTTTGAACTTAGAGCCTTCTACTTGCTAGGCAGGTGCTCTACTACTTGAGCCACACCCCAGTCAAACATTTTAAAAGTGAAAATTAGAAATTCATAGGACAGAGATCTACTTTTAAGAATGACCTACTAACAAACATAATATAGTTACAATTTTTAGAACAGCTTTAGGATGTGCAATTTCTGTAGCATTCTACACAAATTACTTTGCATCGAGCTGTTTTTCTAAAACTTACATTTATAGGATTCCACTACATGAGGAATCTTCATAAGACACTGAAATTATTTGTGCAACTGATAAGTTTGTTGTGGTTTTTACATTTACAAGGTTTGGATCTTGGGTACATTCTTAGGCGTGGGCCAACTAAAGACTTTTGTACAACTCTTCCATTCACGATTTCTCACCATAGTAAGCCCTTTTATGTTTGTGAATTCAAGCGAGATGACTTACAGGCATTCCCCCACACTTTACCTTGACTCTAGTTCTCTTCCTTATGCATTGTCACATTTGCTAGAAACATCATGGGATATTGAGGCCTCCTCACATTCTACATTTATGAATTCTCTCTATTGTGAATTCTTTCATGTTTCTGAAGGGAACCAGAACAAGTGAATGCTTTCCCACATTGCTTACATACATAGGGCTTCTCACCAGTGTGAATTTGTTCATGTCTTCGAAAATTACTCAAAGAAGAGAAGGCTTTCCCACATTGCTTACACTCGTAGGGTTTCTCTCCACTGTGAATCTTTTCATGGCATCGAAGGGAACTGTGACCAGTGAAGGCTTTGCCACATTCCTTGCATTTATAGGGTTTCTCTCCAGTGTGAGTTCTTTCATGTATTCGAAAGGAACTAGAAGAACTGAAACCCTTCCCACACTGCTTACATAGAAAGGGCTTTTCTCCAGTGTGAGTCCTTTCATGCCGTCGAATGGAACTGGTGCATGGGAAAGCTTTCCCACATTGCTCACACACGTAGGGCTTCTCTCCACTGTGAATGCTTTCATGATAACGAAGAGAAGTACGACTAGTGAAGGCTTTATTACATAGTTTACATAAATACGGTTTCTCTCCAGTGTGATTTCGTTTATGTGTCTGAAAGGAATTGTAATAAGTGAAGGCTTTTCCACACTGCTTACACACATAGGGCTTCTCTCCAGTGTGAGTCCGTTCATGCTGTTGAAAATTAGTCAAATGACTGAAGGCTTTCCCACATTGCTTACACACGTAGGGTTTCTCTCCCGTGTGAGCACGTTCATGTCTTCGAATGCTACTCAAGAAAGAAAAGGCTTTCCCACATTGCTTACATACATAGGGTTTCTCTCCAGTGTGAACCCTTTCATGGTACTGAGGGGCACTGGAATAAGCGAAGGCTTCACCAAGTTGCTTACACACATATGTTTTCTCTTTAGTATCAATTTTCACATGTATTTGACTATAACTGTAACTTCTGAGGGCTTTCTCAGATTCCTTATAGTCACAGTGTTTCTCTCCAGTTTGAGTTGGTTCTTGCTTCAGAGAGCATTCTGAAAAACTGATGGCATTCCCACGGTCCTTATACTTATGCTGATTCTCTTCACATTCCTGATATTCGCAAGGTTTGTATCCAGTCTGAACACTGATAGGCACACTTAGGGGTAAAGGACCAATAAGGGTGTCATCACGCACTTGGCTTTCATAGACTTTTATGCCAAGAGTTTCCTTGTTTGCAACAGGATCTGGAATCTGGATGAAGAATTCTTCACACTGATTAGCTTCCTTATGTTCACAGAGTCTCCTGATCACTAGACTTCTTAGATTTCTCCAGGAATTTTTATATTCACCTTCAATGTTCTGCTCTTCCTGTGTTTTTCCTATAGCAGCCAGGTTCCTGAAGGTTTCCCACATTACATCTCTGTAGAGTTTCTTCTGGAAGGGATTCAGCAAAGCCCACTCCTCCAGAGTAAAGTTCACAGCCACATCCTCAAAGGTCACAGACTCCATTTTTAGATTCTAGAGTCCCTGGAATCTTTCCTTCAAATCTAACAGTCAGTGATGGTCACAAAGTAATGGTAACTGAGCCAACTGGGACACCTCTCAGTAGTCAAGAGAAGACAGTGAGTATGGTGGTGCCAGAAAAGAAGATCCCGCAGGGTATGGAGTTGGTTATAACTTTTATATAAGACAATCTAAATGAGTTAGTGAAATCAAGTCAGTAGTTTTAAGAACTTTCTAAGTGTTCACCATTTAAAAAAATCAAACTAAGTAAGACAACTGCTAGGGAATCCTATAATTCTATATACAGGTTTTTTTGTTGCTGGACATCGAACTATTTAGTGCCTCACGCACACTAAACACACAATCACTGAGCTACACCCCCATACCAACAGTTCTATTCTTAGTAGAGAATACATACATTTCCAGATAACACCTTTTTTCCCCACTATGATGTCTAAACAAAAGTGATTTTAAACATCTGAAATCAAAAAATATTCTTTGTAACAGATTATCACTACTATCTAGGGAAAAAGTAAAGCAATTAACACATGGAGAGTGATGCTCTGTTCATATTTTGGTCACAGGTCTCCTTTAAGAAACTTCGCTTCCTTCAGAATGGAAGACTTTATCTGTCTCCTATTTGATGGGGTTTAGAGCTAAAGCGGCTGAATGAACAAACATGGGAGACTGGAATCTCCTTGGAGGTATTCTGGAGGAAGTCCACATTTACTCCACCATGATTGGAAAGATCTGGCTCACCATCCTGTTCATATTTCGAATGCTTATTCTGGGCGTAGCAGCTGAAGATGTCTGGAGTGATGAGCAGTCTGGCTTCATCTGCAATACAGAACAACCAGGTTGCAGAAATGTGTGTTATGACCAGGCCTTTCCTATTTCCCTCATTAGATTCTGGGTTCTGCAGGTAATATTTGTATCTTCACCATCACTGGTCTACATGGGCCATGCTGTGTACCAATTGAGAGTTCTAGAGAAAGAGAGGCAGAGGATAAAAGCTCAATTAAAAAAAGAACTGGATGGAGTAGAGTTTGAAACGTCTGTGGATCACAGGAGATTGGAGCAAGGACTTTGTCAGCTGGAGTGGGGAAGGAAACCAAATAAAGCTCCACTCAGAGGAACCCTGCTTTGCACTTATGTGATACACATTTTCACTCGATCTGTGTTTGAAGTTGGGTTCATGGTTGGACAGTACCTCCTATATGGATTCCACTTAGATTCTCTGTTTAAATGCCATGGCCACCCATGTCCAAATGTAATCGATTGTTTTATCTCAAGACCCACTGAAAAGACAATATTCCTATTATTTATGCAGTGCATAGCCACTGTTTCACTTTTCTTAAACTTTCTAGAAATTTTCCACCTAGGTTTTAAGAAGATTAAAAGAGGGCTTTGGGGGCAATATAAACTGAAGGACAAGCATAATGACTTCTATGTAAACAACTCAAACCGAAGTCTAGCCAAGTATCAGAGAACATCTGTAAATTCGCTGAAGAGACTCCCTTCTGCACCTGATTATAATGTGCACATGGAAAAGCAAACACACACAGCAGCATGTCACAGTTTAAATTCACCTTCTGCATTTCAGGCAGCTCCTGACAATCTCAATGTAAATGATGAAAAATGCATTTTGGATGAAGAGGAGTCTAATGGGACGTGCACACTTAGCACTACCTGTAGTCACCTCCAACACATCGGCTTCAACAACAAAGGCACTCATAAAATATTTGGAAAAGAAGTCAATGGTAAGCACTTAAGGGAAAAAGGAGAAATTGATAGTAAAGACAGCAAAAGAAAACACTGCACCAGGAGTCAGTGTGCTATTCCAGGTCCTGGGATAGACACAGACAACCACGTTGGGCAATCACCCCACACAGTTTTCTCCCTGCCAGCTACCTGCACCTGGAAACCTCAATGGCTTAGTGCTACTTGGGGTCCCTCTACAAAAAGTGACAGCCAGGGGTCACCTCCTAAAGGTAACCTCAAGGTTCAAGGGGTTATGATCAGAACACTCCCTCCTTCACAGGGAGACTCCCAACTACTTGACACTCCTGATTCTTTGAGAGAGTTGTCCTTTGGGTCAAAGCTTGCTAGGACCTGCCACAATCCCACTGTTGGTCCCTCCAATGATTTAGTGACCCTGACGAACAACTTCATTGGTAGGCGGGTGCCCACAGACCTTCAGATCTGAACAGTTGGTGGCTTTTGGACATTCTACATATTACATCATCAGAGAACTAGCATAGTGGTGGTGGAAAATGGAGGAAGTAGATAAGGGCAGTTCTAAAGACCAGCTGTGAAGACAGACAATGCAAATTCATTTCAGAAAAGGAAAAAATTTCTTATTTTGAACTATGAAAGGATAATTCTAAACTCAAAGACATAAGCTAACCAAATTAGGAGTCCTCCCCCACCAAAAAATGTGTGAAACTAATTTTTGGATAAATTACGTGTTCAGAATCGAGGCTAAGTGGTTTTCTGACATCATTGGGAAATTGTTATCTATAGAATTCTTCCTTTTAGTTATTAATCCTTTGTCTTTGGACACTAGGTTAATTTTGTTTGCCCCCGGACTTAGTAACTTAGCTTCCTTATAGACTGCAAACTGATGTGCGCTGAGTACAATCATAACGTCGCTATCTAATAAATAAAATGCTAAAAAAGAGCTGAGGCTTTCTTCCACCAGTTTTGTAGCATCGCGGTTCACTTCCGGGATTGGAGTCTTTCTCAGCTTTCCTTCTCGTCACTTTACGAACATACTTCACCTACTGGGATGTTATGAGGATTAAAATGAAAAACAGCTACGTTTAGAACAGTGCCCGGCACATTTTAAGCGCTTGTACTAACACGTTACTACTCACCCTCCAGAGGCCCACCTGAAGTCAGCGACAAAACAAGGAGCTTCAGAGGGAAAAGCTGGAGTCAAAACACTCTGCTCAAGCCACGGGAAACCCCAGGGGCTCCCTGCATTTATCGTGCGTATTTACTTTTCCGAAGAGAGCCAAGAAGCCAGCACAAATGTGTCACCGCGGCTTCCGAGGACCCAATAGAGGACGGCGCGTCCAATACCTGGTGGAAGGAACCTGCCCCGCGCTACTGTCCAGAGCTCCCGGCCCCACCCCGGCCGCCACGCCCACCGGGGGGGACCCACTTGAACACCCGCCCCGAGCTACCAAAACCTCGCGTCTCGTTCAGCAACCCACCGGCCGGAGGGCCGGAAGAGGAAGGAAAGGTGGAAGGAAGGACAGCTGGAGGGGCGGGCGTACGCAGCCTCCTTCGACTCAGACAGCTATGCAGGCTGCATAGCGTCCTGGTCGCCATGAAAACAGGCCACACCCCGGCGATCCCAGCTCGTGCTTCGCCAGTGCGCAGGCGCGCGCGCCCCTCAGCGCATGAGCAGTGCTCCCGCGAGCCCGCCAGCCACAGTCTCCGGCGCCAGCTACGCCGCTGTCGCTGTCACTATGGCCCATTACAAAGTGAGGGGGGCGCGGCGTGGCTGGGGGTGTGCGGGCGGTACCCAGCCGCTGGTCGGCACCGGGTGGGAGTTGGGGGGCGCGCGCAGATTTTAGGGGCTGAGGAGGCGAAGCGCAGGCGGGTGGCCGGACTCCCAGCGCCTTCTTTCTGCTCCGGCCCTGCGAGCTCCGGTCATTGACCCACGGTGTCTCCTCAGGCCGCCGACTCGAAGCGCGAGCAGTTCCGGAGGTACTTGGAGAAGTCGGGGGTGCTGGACACTCTGACCAAGGGTGAGCGTGGGCTAGGAGAGGGCTCCTCGTGTCCTCAGCGTGCTCTCTGTACGGCGCTTCTGGCGGGCTGTGACGCGGGGAAGAAAGGGGAACAGGTGGGGCCCGCCCGGGGTCCAGCGAGGTGGGCCTCGAGGTGCGGCGAGCCCCGGCGCCGGGCGCGGCCGCTCTCCCCGCGGGGAGTGAAACTCTTGCAGCTGTTGCAAAGTCTCTCCAACTTCCGTTGCTTTGCCCTGAGTAGCCGCCGCCGACGTGTTTGCTACAGACCCTGGGATCCCAATTCCTCCCGTAGGAAGTTCTCAAGGTCCTCAGAATCTTAAACATTTTCTCTTGAATGAGGGGCAACTGGGAAAAAATGGGCTGCAGAGTAATTGAGTGAGCCTAATTCTCCAATGACCGCCAATTCCTACTCTGTAGATTTCCTAATTAAAGTAGAATTACAGTGTGAAGAGTTTCAGGGCACATCAAAATGGTTATATTGCTTACACTTTTAAAATGGAAGCTTACTTTTTTACTGTTACATTGTATCTCTTCTTCCCTGTGTTTGAGCTCTGAATAGAAGAGTAAGGTGCTTGAACAGGAGGACTCCAAGAGATAGTATAATACTGCTTATTTCATTAACTCAACAGTAATCTGAATGCCTGCTATGTGTTCCTCAGCGTCCTGGCTGGGAGTTTTCAAGGACATAGAATGGAATTGCTGGCGGAGATGAGGACGTATGAGAATAGGAAGTGTCTGGGAAGTAATACGGTTATGATTTGAGGAAACAAAGGGTAGGGCAAAATTCTGGGAGAACTGCTGAGTCGTAGCAAAAAAAAAAATTTGGCGGCACTGGCGTTTGAACTCAGGTCCTCACGCTTGGGCCACTCCGCCAACCCCTCCCCTCTTCTTTTTTTGTGAAGGTGAAGTTTTTTTTTTTTTTTTTTTTTT